TTATAAGATACATGGGAAAATGACATGTTGAAGTCAAGATGGTCGCCAGGCCCAAATCGTTGGAGAAATGATTCGAAAAATGTGGCCCAAAGCCTAGACCCAATATGTAACTTGTACCATTTGAACCAAACGGCAGCATCACTAATGAAATGGAGGCTCGTGATTATGACTCAATTGGCGGCGTCAACCCCGTGGTAATCCATATACTCCTCTGTTAAGGCTAACCAATTCTACAGGTCATCATCGGAGAATCGAGAAAGCTCAATCTTCATGTGTTTCGGGCCGTTGAAGGTAAGTGGTGGCCCTTGATAGAAGGGCAACTGTTGGGGAAGGTGAAACGAAGAGGATGGAAGGTGGGGATGGAGGGTAGTGGTAGAGGTTGAATGGATAGGGGACGATTGTGGGTAACCGGTGCCCGGGGTATGAGAGAGAGAGGGGAAGCGGGAGTAATATGTGCCCTATGTTGGAGGAGAAGCAGTGAAAGTGGGTTGGGATGGTGGGGGCATCAGAGTGGATGTCGAACCCAGAGGAATGTGAAGGGAACCGATCGAGATCTAGGAAAGAGTGGTGGATGGGGGCGGTTGTTGCTTGGAGGCACGGATCTCCTCCATTAAGTGGTTCTGGACTAGGCTAATGTTAGCCAATAAAGCCTGAATGTCCGTCAGATTTGACTGGAATGATTCTTGGCGAGTGGCTAACAAGGACACCTAGTCGTGAAACCTTTTAAGCTACTCCAAGATTTGGTGTTGTTGGTACTTCAGTTCGAGGTCGGCCTTCATGCCATCGGCCACCACCAGGAGGCTTTGCTTTTACTCATGGATGGTAGCAACTTATCGCTGATACCAAATGATAAAACCCAGGGATGAAACAATGCAGAGAGTATGAAGAAAAAAGGAAAATGAATAAACTAAGACATTTGATTTTCATTCATACATTTCCCAAATGGTGAAAGAAAGCTTATATACAACCCTAGATGGGGAAATGCTCATGATTGGAACACATCTCCATTTACCCTACCGTTAGATGAAACCAACTCCTACAAGGAAAAGACAAAATACCATAAAGGAGGGACCAACAGCTGTCCAATATTCCAATATCCTAACACTAAGCTTAAAAATGGGTTCGGTTTTTGACGAATTGAGTTCCCTTGTGCTGGACTCTTTTCTCCCTAAAAAAAATGAAATTGTGGGTTGTTTGATCATGACGAAATTCTATTGCAGGATAGAGCATCACTAGTCCAAGCAATGGTATCCAATGAGGCAAAGGTCTTCCGCCAACAGTTTGGAAATTGCATATTAAGGTCTGGTTCCAGAATAGAAGCTAAACCAAAGTTGGATCTTGAAATGCAAGTTCATGGTTTTGATTTTTAACATTTTGGGTAATGGTAGGGAGATCAAACTCTTAAATCAAATGGAGTGGATGTTAATGAATGGATTATTACTTAAGTATTGATTACCATGCGTATTTTCCATTGGATGGTGACACATCATTTGGTTTGCAAATTTGGTTTCCTTAACATTATCCGTAGGTTCTTAATCAGTTGGAAATACATATTATAATGTTCTAGATTTTGATTGCATGGGGTTCGGTTTCCGTATTTGCGCTAAGTTAGTTGTTCAAAAATCTTAATGACATTGCATTTAATTTGTTTCTTGAGAAAGGAAATTAATGTTTGTGGCTTGGTTTTTACATGAGGTATGATATCCACACTATTTTTTACTTCTCACATATTTTCTAATTTTTGGTTATCGGATTGGATGAATTAAAGAAGATCAAATAACAGAAATTAACAAGGGATGTGTGAGACCCTTTTTACATATGTATAGACAACTAGAGGGAAAAGGGTTAGGGAGAAATGCCTAAAATTGTTAATGGTTTATTTGAAGTTGAGTTTGAAAAATAAAATATCTAACATAAATAAATAAATAATATATATATATATATATATTTAATTAATTTGATTCTATATAGTTTTCTAACCACTGAAACTGAACCAAAAGATTTCGGTTTTGTTTGATTTTTTTTTTAATTCAGTTTGATTTTTTTTTTTTGGTTCGATTTTTTCATCTTCGGCTCAGTTTTCGATTTTCGGTTTTCAAACCCACTCCTACCTAGGCTTGGCCAAATTGGTTAAAGTAGTGTGCTCTCTTTTAGTATAAAAATGTATCAAAGGGAGAATATGAAGAGAATCCTTAGGGAAAGCATTTTGTTTCCACCTAGCAAAAACAGTGTCTATAAGGAGGCTCGCACTACGGACTATTACATCAGTATCATCTATAAAGAATAATACTCTCATCCCTCTCTATGGGGGAATAAACATATCTCAACTTCTGACGAATAATGTATATTCAACATATAAATATCATATCGGAACAATGAATATGCCCGCACGAAGCTCCTTGTATAACCCAAACTCTCTTTACTTTTCAAACTCAATAGTATAAATATACAAACAATGAATACGCTTTCCAATCAAATTGGTGGTGATAAAACCAGAAACACAAACACATATGGATCAAAGAAATCAAAATTTGATCACATCAGTCTCTACTTTCCTTATCGTTCTTCTTCTCTGTGTAGCAAATGAAATCGAGTCTGCCTACCAACCTTAGCAAGAAGCACTTTATGTTGGTTCATGGCTCATGCTTTGGTGCTTGGTCTTGGTACAAGATTGTAACCCTAATTAGGTGATCTGGTCACAATGTCACTATTCTAGACCCAACAGCTACTAAGGTCGATCCCCAACAGCTACTGGGATCTGCGATCAATTTCTAACTACTTTAAGCTCGTGAGGGATTTCATAGAAGCTATTGATGGAAAGGTGATCCTTGTTAGTCATAGTCTTGGTGAGTTGGCCATTCTTAAGCCATGAAAGATTTCTGAAGGCCTCGTTTGGTTTGTTAGGCTGTACTGACTATTTCAATCGTATACATTAATCTGTACCTCAGATATCATATAGTACTGTTTTTTGTCCAAAAATAAATAAAAGATATCAGCAGGGCCATGCTTGAGTATTTAGGTGCCCTGTGTAAAACTTAGATGGCGGCCCTTCATTTTTTTATTGTTATATTTCTTTATTATTTTTTGTTCTTCAATTTTATTATATATGACATTAAAATATTACAAGTTACGGCAACAAAAATAAGTTGTTTGATTGCCTAGGTTTTTTTCCTTACCTTCAAAGGTCTTGAGTTCGATACATGTTGGTTGTGTTTTTTGTTATCTCCTTTTTAAGTTTATAAATAGCAAAGCAATATCATAGAGATTCGAACCCAGCCCAGGGGCTGTACGGTAGAAGAGCTAAACCTCTAACACTAGAACCACAAATAATATTGTCTTTCGCATCTGACCTATTTTATATGCATGTAATGAAAATTTGGGGCCCCTTCCGAATTCCAGCATCAAATCCCAACCTCCCATACGAATCCGCATCGATTCACCAACCAAAACAATACTACTAATTAAATTGAAGATACAAATTGAAGAAAAGAAGACACGACTGGGAGAGAAACATAAGTTTGGGGTTTAGTGATAGTCTTATCTACTTATAAGTATGAGATCTTTTAATCAAATTCCATAAATGGTGACTTCAAACTAAATTCTTAATGCAGAATCATTGTGTGACTAAACCCAAATCTCTAACCCGTTATTATAGGTAGGCCTTTTTTTATTAGCATCCCAGATAATGTTGAATACACCCCACATTAAAATTTAATATTAAATGACTTATATACTCTAATTAATACATAATGACATTTTTGACCTTATAAAGTTTTAAAATAAAATTCTCAAATACGCCCCAAATCACTCACCCTTCAACTCTCAAAATCACTCACCCTTCAACTCTCAAAATCACTCACCCTTCATTGTAGACAAAACCCTAACCAATAAAACTATAAGCACGTAGATTGATAAAAATTATTTTTAACACATAAAACATAAAATCAACGTTTCGGAAGATTCACATAAAGTAAGACTTCATATTTTTCGTTCTTTTAATTATTTCAACGACATCAACATCAGCAGTTCCTTTCAATTATTGGTTTTATTATACTCAATTATTTAATTGTAGTTCCTTTCAGTTGATCTAATTATTCAAAACCCAGCACCATCCTCTTTTGAGTAAAAATCATATTCCTCATCTACTAACGTCGAACACCCGTAGCACTCCACCTCTTTCCATGGAGCAAATAGGATCAAACAATTGAATGGATAGAGAAATATGAAGGGATAAACACATGCAAATAGGATCAAACAATTGCTGGCATCACATTGTTAATGTAGGATGATAGTATTTAGGACAATATGAAAGGATAGAGAAATGGAAGAGATCCGGACTCACTCCGGTCTTGGCATCCATCAGACCAAAGGTGTATTGGAATATCACCAATAGAGAAATTAGAAAAATTTTGAAAATACACCGGCTTCAGCTGCACATCGGAAGTACCTAGAATGACATTATGTATTTGCACATAAGATGTGAAAAGCGTGGGTGTAGGTAGAAAATGTAAAGTGTATGGTGAGAGTTGAGGTGTGGTATTATGAGAAAGTATATGGGATATATTAAAATATTTTTTTATTAAAAAATCAAATGTAAGGTATATTTAATAATATTTGAGATTTAATATAACAAGCCTTATACATCTATCGTTATATTTAATAAATAAAAAATGGATTGCCAACAAATGTTTACTTAGTTGGAGTTGGAGAAACAACGAATGGTTATTGACACACCCCGACCGAGATTGAAGCATGTTGGCCGTCACATGAGGGTGACGTAGCCATGTGCACAGTGCAGAAGCAATAAAGATAAGAAATATACGAATAAATAAAAACTGAAAGCTACTAAGGTGCACTAATAAACAGGAAGTGCTAGGAGTGAGATACAAGTGTAATTACTCCTAATCAGAGCATAGAAAGTCTAGGTGCAGTCCAATAGGACAAGTACTAATTACACAGTACCAAAAGACGTCCTACAATTATTTTATTCTGTCAGAACCGCCGAGATCCTCAAAGCCACCAACAGCAAGTCTACCTAAAACCTGGAGGAGCGCAAAAATAAAATGTGAGTGGGTAAAAACAAATGTTTTTCAGAACCATTTCATCATTAAAATGGTCTAACCGCCTGTAAAACATGATTTTCCCAGAATAGAATATAAACATATATATATATATATATATATATATATTTCATTCAAATCATATTCACATAATCATATTCATAAGTATGCCATAATGCCAAAACATAATTCGAATTTCATAGAATAAATTCATAAGTTAATCATATGCCATACATAAAATTCATAAGTCAACAATTATCGGCATCAAAATAACATATTTAGATACATATATTACACCTAGTCTTGTCGTACAAACCCTTTTAGTGGTTCGACTTATTGCTCATGTATTCATTTTGCTAGTCACCTACGAGTCGGAACCCATATGATGGTCTGTACACCTTTAGTGGTTCCACTTAAATTGGATCTTATGTTGTGAGCATATGGTGCGGGAGGTGACATTGTAATACAGGCATGTGTCATCTCCGGCTAAATCACAATCACCTTAGGTGCAGGTTTATGGAGCTCAATAACATTCTCAATCTCACAACTTAATCACATATCACAATTCATTTAACTCACCTGGGCTTACCTGAGCGTCACAATCACGCACGCAAATTAAATTATAATATGCATCATATACCAGTTTTCATATAATATATATATTCATGGCATTTCAAGGCATACTTTCATTTAAACGTATTTTCTGGGAAAATATGAAGTATATAAATATATATTGAAAACCAAAAGCCCACTCACTGGTATGTTGAAGGGTCGTAGCCTTCGAGTCATCCTTGACTGTGCTCGTCCTTGGGATAAGTCTCCCCTATATGCGAAACAACTATAAAAAGGTTAATTTAAAACAGCTAACCAATACTAGCTAATAACTTCTCATACAATGCTCAAATGGGGCGTTTGAATATACCAACATGATCTATACAACCTCATGAACATCCCTATATTTTTAGAATAATTTTTGGACGTCCCACGCACCGTCACATGCTTACAAAGGCACGGCAACACGCGCGGCCACGCACAAGGACCCTAACGGAATCTCCTAACCCCATTAGGAATATTCCATTAAATAGTAACAGAATCTGTTAAACTAACCAATGCCGTTAGGAATATTCCGTCATCCCCCAGAACTCCGGCGACCGTCGCCGTTGCCAGAAAACTGAGAATTTTTCAAACCTTCATTTCTCGTCCATTTCTCAATCAAATTTCATGAAACTTAAACCAATTTGAAGCTTGACATGAATATAATACAACTATACCTTTCAAGAGCCCTAAAATCCACAGAACTCGACGGAAAATCCCTCGATAATCCGGCTAAACCTGCAACTCGTCAAAACTCAACTTTCTGACGTCCAAATCACTTTGTTTTTCTTCTCCGAGCTTCGTGAGGATGATTCAAAGCTTCCTATGCCCTTAAAAACTCCTAAAAACCTCATAATAATTAGTGCATGAACAGTACCTAAAACTGGGATTTCGGTTTCTCGGGTTTTCGAATGTTTTAAGTCCAAATAAAGGTATAAATCAACTCCTAAACATACAAAGAGTTTGAATGTTACCGTTAAAACCTCGATCCATGCCTGAAATGGAATGCTTGGAGTTCATTCATACAAAGTTGATGGAAACAGGAGAAAATCGAGAGGGATGAGAGAGAGAGTGCACGGGAAGGAGAGAGAGAGAGTTGGGGGGTATGTGTGTATGGTCCAAAGTTTTTTACTTCTAACAACCACAAAAACATAACAACTTTTAGTCTTAATTAGTTCCAAATAATAGGGACTTAAGGAATTAGTTCACTCCCAACTTAAACCACACAAACACACAAAACATCCAAAGGCAAAATAGTCAGTTCACACCGTCGATACTAAATATTTCGGGACAGGCTGTGACAGTTATGAGAAGTGTACGTAATGGGTACGGGATAAACATGGTCATCCCATTTTTCTAAGTATCCCCTATTAAAACTGATGGTAACCAAAGCCGGCCCTGAGGGTGTGCAAAAGGTATCACCGCACAGGGCCCTCGATTCGGAAGGGCCCCCAAATTTTCTTTACATGTAAACAGATATATATTATATATTAAAATGTGCAAAATAATGATATTTATTGTACCTGGTGGTGTAGGCCTTTAATCTTCTTGTACATGGATTGGGTTTGAGTCCTTGTAGAACTATTTTGCAATTTTTAAGTTTTGCAAATTTATTAATTTAAAAAGTTGATAAGTTTTACACAAAAAACCATGCAACATATTTCGAACTAGACCTTTCAAGATAGGAAACACTCTTGTCCACTCAAATAATACGTTATATGTTACAACCTATCCTAAATCAAGATATATATTTTATCACCAAGCATGTAAAATGACAATAATGCCCTCGTGATTTAGTGACGTGGATGTCCAATATAGTTTTAAATTATTCCCTCGCTCACGAAATTAAGTGGTGCTCGACGTCACAAACATGTCGACATGAATTAATAACGAGTATGGGTGTAATTCTATTTTTCAGGTTGGTTATTTCTTCTTTGGACCCATTTTTAGGGCCTTAACTCAATGGCCCAATTAAGGGGCCTTATTACTCCCTTAACCCGTGCTTTTTCCCCCCACATTCCAAAAAATTCCTTTTCTCCCTCACACTCTTCCGCACCTCTCCTCCTCTCGGTGATCTCGTCCCCGGCATCACACACATGCATATACATATTTGCACCTACTGCAACTATCAAAATTTCTCCCTTTCTTCCTCACACCCCATACTCACCCTTTCTCACCCTTTGGAATTGTGTAGTTTTCGTACGGTAACTTCGTCGGAATCTTGAACCTTTTGACCAAGGTAAGTTTGGAATTTCCAACCTCAAATCCTTCTCACGTTGAACTCCTAGTGATGTTTAATATTAAATAGAAGGTTTGTGGGTGATTTAATACAGATTTCATCTCGGGGAAGAATTTTCCCAGATTTGTGGAAAGTGAACAGTGGTCATTTGACCATTTTCAGACCAGATTTCCAACCAACTCCGGTTCTCCGTTGGGTTTCTTAAGGGTATGATTCTCTTCTCTACATTTCTAACTTCAAAATGGCTTTTGAATCATCAAGTTTGGTTTAGTATGGAACTAGAAACTAGTAGGAAAGTTAGGAAAAAAATTCCAGTTTTCTGGAATTCTTGGACCCGTGACCATTTGGCCACTTTTACACCACTTTTCCGGCGAACCCTGTCTATGTCAAGACCCCAAATGGGTATATATCTATTCCCTGAATTCCTAACTTTACTTAGGCTTTTGAATCATGGATTTTGGTTGAGAATCGAGCTCAAAATGAACTCTAGAAGTCTTGCGTTCCAAACTGCAAAAGTGCAGATTTTTGCAAGGAGGAAGAAGGAAAAAAAAAAAACCTTTAAACCATTTCAAATTGGACCTAAGCCATTTAATTGGTTTAGGCCTTATGTTCAAAATGGATTAAGTCCATTTAGTTTTAAGTTGGGTTTTACACTTAAACTAGATTAAGTCCAAAAACTATTCTAAAATATGAGGATGTTCGTGGGGTTGAGTAAACCACAATGGTATATTCAAACACCCTAATTGAGTGACGTATGAGAAATTGATCATAGGTTTTGTATATGTGCTATCGAATTAACGTTAAATTAGTTGTTTCACATATAGGTGAGACGTTTCCAGAGGACGAGCATAGCCAGGCAAGACTTGGGGACTACGACCTAGCTATATACTAGTGAATGGGCTTTTGGTTTTCAGTATATATGCATACATATATATACTTGGTATTTTTCCCAGAAAACTTAATTAAATGGTTTTATATTTTGAAATGCCATGTCAAATGCTCTCTATGTTCGATTATGCATTAGTATGGTTATATATATTGTTGCTTGACGTTGTGGACGCTCAGGTAAGCTTCTGGTGAGTATATTGATGGTAGTGATGGTAGTGAGTATAATTGTGTTGAGATGTATTTAGAGTTTATTATCCTGCACCCCGGTGTTAGTGCTCTGCTCAAAGACAAGGCCTAGCCTTCACGTGATCGTTCACCTCCCGCACCACACGTTCTCCTTGGATCCAAGGTAGGTGCCAACCTGTCGTACAGACCACATTAAGTGGTTCCGACTCGTAGGTGACTTGCGATACTTCGCATAGCCTTCACATGATCGTAGCACTTAAGCATATTTATTTACACCTAATCTGTTGTACAGACCACATTAGGTGGTTCCAACTCGTGTGCAGGATTTGATTGATGAGTTATGGTCCCAGTCGTACAGGTCACTTTAGGTGACTCCGGCTGGCATACTATTTCATATTGGTTTATTCTACCCGACTTACTTATTTAGATTTGACATGGTATATTTGTGGAATTGTTATTTCGAATATGGTTTTGAGATATAAATATGCATGTTGTTTTCTGGGAAGTATATAGGTTTTATGGCGAGGGGTTATTTTTTTTGATAATTGAAATGGTTTTAGAAAACTTTGTCTTTGCCCACTCACACTTTCTGTTTTGCGCCCTCCAAGTTTTAATTGCTAAAAGTTCGTATCGACGAGGATTCTTGGCAAATCTCATAATAGGTGGCTACTTTTGAGGGTATGATCCTTATTCACTCTACTGTACTTACTTATGCTCTAATGTCACATGTGAAGTGGGTTCATTCCTACTCACCAGCGCATTCTGGTATTTAGGCTCTCTTAGGTTTAAATTTATTCACATTTTTCCACACCATCACACTTTATGGCTTCGTCATCTTCCAAGTGTCGACTAGCACAACTCGATTTGGAGTCCTAGTGGACGTTCCGGGTTGGGGTGTCATCATAATTTGGTGCTCTAATTTGTAGTATTTAAATTTTATAGATACAGATTGAAAAAAAAATAACAAAGAAAATACAATATTAAAAAAGATGAAAGGCCTCTATCTAAATCTTGCACATGATCCCTAAATTCTCAGGGCCGGACCTGATGGTAACATCCGCTTATTTATTTATTCCATGGTTTGTAGTAAACATACAATATGACATAAATAAAAATTATACGCATTTCTTTACAAAATATTTTTTTTTCTTCAAACAACGAATTTTGTTAGGTGAGCCACCAACAGAATTTGAACTCATATTATCATGTAAGAGCTCAACACCTTTTCATTACTGTGGTAAATGGTGACTTGCTACAAAATATATTTCTTAAATGCATGATATGACATGATCCTTGCAAATTTATTCCTTTACACCTTCACTCATGTGGATGTGTAGAGAATAATGTACATATCACAAAATAAAAATAAATAAATAAATAAAAAATAAAAAATATATATATATCTCTACTAATTAATAAAACACTCATTGTCAACCAAAATCCTATGATATTACCAGATTAACCCTCTAATTAAAACATAACATGAATAAGAAATATGGAATAGAAATGTAATTTTACACAACCAAATTTTGCTGTTTTTTTTTTCAAAACCTTACCTACATGTAATCCTAACATATCTCTAATTAAAAAATAAAAAAAATTTCGGCTATCACATTCTCTATCACTCTCTTCCTCTCTCCTTCTACTTCAAAACCAAAAATAAAAATAAAAATAAAAATTCTCACACACTTTATGTGTGCCCATATGCTAATATATATTTATCAATACTCAAAATCTTCTCCAATTGTTGACCAAACGAAAATATCTTCAGACTGATTGAAATATTTAAACAAAGTGGTCATTAAATATCTAGAAAAGTTCATTCGCATATTAATTTAAGAACAATGAGATATTTTTGTATTTTAAAACTAAAAGGGAGTTAATTGTCCTTTTCTTTCCGATTATTTTTATTTTTTGTCTAATTTTCTTTGTTGTATTCTAATTGGAATTGGAATTAAAAAGTCGTTTGGAGATAAGATTCTTTATTAGACAGCCGATGCACATACGACCAAGCCCCAAACCCCAAACCCCAAAGAACCCTCCAACCACTCTCATATTTGGCTGGTTGTACTTGGCATCAAGAATTTACCAACTTCGCCCGACTGACTAAGTGAAATTTCAACCATCCGATCGCCACCAACCTACAAGATCCGACAGTTTATTCATGTAATGTACCATAATTTGCTGCATGATGTAACATTAGGCAGATGTTAATGAGACCATTACGTTCCTTCAGTGAAAAGGATTTGTCCAAGGAACTCAAGCTAAGCAATGAGAAATACGTGGATCAATCAGGTTTACGTAATGTCCCACGGAGATTTGGTCAGAAAGGACTTTCAACACAGGCGGAGGCAAGTACAAGGTTCTAGTGGGCTATAGCATAGGGAGGGTTTCAATTCTTTAAGCTTAAAAACACTAGTTATTTGTGCTATTTTATGATTTTTAATTATCGCCCTTGTAGCAAATGAAAAGACCGAATCTTAGGGATGTTTTTAGGGACAATATGAGTTAATAAAATATGCTCATCATTTTAACCAATATTACTAAACTAAAACTTTCATACCACACATAATTCCTTTGAAAGTTTTGAAGGCTAAAAGCCGATAAAAATAGACTATATTTTTTTTCTTACTTCAAATTATTACTTTCAGATTTACTACTATATAACTTTATGCAAGTAACAAAAAAATTGAGCATCTGATTTCGTAGTAATAATTTACACTAATTTGGATTATAATTGATAAAACCAGAACCAGAATCTTTGTGTGGGCTTTCT